CGTCTCGACGATCATTCTCGTAAACGCAGTCGGTTATGTTTTAAATGAATGTAAACACAACCCTCTACGGACACCTTGGCAATTGAATCGCCATTGGCTAGTACCTTTTTTTGTTTACTCGCCAGACTGAAATACTATACTATACTATACTAGACTATATATATATAAGTTATGCCATTTTACAAACATATATAATGTTTGTAAAATGGTACAGCTTTTTAAATATCTGAAAGTACACTCTTAATATCAGTCAGTCAAGCAGTCAAGCATTATAATATGATAATCAAGTATTATTTAATAATAGAAGTTTAGTAATTAGAATTAAAACTTGGTAACCATGAACTTAGGACTGCTGCTGGTGCTTTTTTTTGGTCATTCAGTGTTCCTGTAAAATAAAAACGAACAATAATACTGATAAGATAGTATTATTATTGTACGAATTCTACTAATAAGAACAATATGAAAACGCACTAAGGATTAATGAGCTACTGGATTCATGAATATTAATCAGGTTGTGTGCGTTTGCTCGAACTGATTCGCTGAAATCAAAACATGGATGATAATAGGTGAGCACCAGCCAATGAGATTGTCGTTTGCGCATTAGTTCCGCCTACTACAGTAAAACTACAGTTCTTAAAAGCTGAAGAATTCCAAAGGAACTCCGTTATTTTTACAAGAAAGTACAACAAAGTATATCGTTTACATGTAGCGCATCAATTCTGCATGTTATGTAAGACTCTCGCTCGCTCTCTACGGACACCTTGGCAATTGAATCGCCATTGGCTAGTACCTTTTTTTGTTTACTCGCCAGACTGAAATACTATACTATGCTATAAGTTATGCCATTTTACAAACATATTTAATGTTTGTAAAATGGTACAGCTTTTTAAATATCTGAAAGTACTCTTTTAATATCAGTCAGTCAAGCAGTCAAGCATTATAATATGATAATCAAGTATTATTTAATAATAGAAGTTTAGTAATTAGAATTAAAACTTGGTAACCATGGATGGTCAATGGGAAAAAACTAACAATAATACTGATAAGATATTATTATTATTATTATTATTATACGAATTCTACTAATAAGAACAATATGAAAACGCACTAAGGATTAATGAGCTACTGGATTCATGAATATTAATCAGGTTGTGTGCGTTTGCTCGAACTAATTCGCTGAAATCAAAACAGGGATGATAATAGGTGAGCACCAGCCAATGAGATTGTCGTTTGCGCATTAGTTCCGCCTACTACAGGAAAACCCGGCAGTTCTTAAAAGCTGAAGAATTCCAAAGGAACTCCGTTATTTTTACAGGAAAATACAACAAACATGTAGCGCATCAATTCTGCATGTTATGTAAGACTCTCGTGAGAGAAAGCGACGGCGAGTCGTGCGCCTTCACACTAGTTTACGTTACGCCAAATACACAAACACAGGTGCGCTGCGCATCCATTCAAATGAACTGAAAAATATCACAGATCGCATGACGGAGAGTGAAACTGAAGCGCTCAGTCAGAGTTTTCTGTGAGTGAAAATATATCTGTGCTAATCATATACTCAGCCTCCAACTCACACACTGGCGAGTAAAATCTGAGAATTTATTAGCCATTGGCTAATATTAGACATCATTTAGTCGCCCAGAGTGAAGATTTAGTCGCATATGCGAGTGATTTACTTGCAATGTAGAGGGTTGTTCAATCGCTCATAATATTTGTAGTCGACACAGTTAAATATTTATCAATGAG